AAAAAAAAAACGGTAACCTGGTTGCCGAGTTCACGAAGTGAATTGGCTTGTTTTACAACGTCGTTGCCAAGCGACGAAAACCCAATCCCGATGGCAAACACCGGGGGGGGTGGTTTCTTATATGTTATAGGTGTGTTTATCTTTGACGGTAATTCAGTGAATAGGCTTGAACAGACTCAAAATAAGCCCAGGTTCCAGCTGGTTTACCTCCACTCGCTGACATGACTTCAGCATTTCCCTTCGACTGCTGTGGTTTATTTCTTTAACGGGTGGTCTTTCTGTGTGTTTGCGTGTATTCCTAGAAACAACACTGCACGGTACATGAATCCGCCAACAACGCCATATGCAGCTGTCACGGAACCCCCTTCTCTGCATTCTTGCCAGAAACGACCTAAATGTAGTCCTACCACGCTACATACCTCGCAGAGGGAGGGCACTTGCGATTTCATATCGGTTTTTCGAGGAGCCAGAGCATGACTGAAACATTTCATCGTTTGCGCCTGAAGAAAACGGGCGCGGATCCGTCATCGTTAGAAGCGTGCCACCAACATGAGTCTCGCTATTTATGTTTCGGCCCTCCGCTAGTACAGACAGGTAAACTCCTCGCTGCTTTCTCACGGCTGTCCCACTACATGCCGTTTCGGTCCGTTTGCAATGTTGACATGCATGCCTGTTCTTCGAAAGGCAGGCGAGCGATTCCCCCGGGCTGTTCGCCGCAGTTTGATTCGGGCCTGGAACTCATGTCGCACGCACAGAGTGCGCAAGCTTGCGCCTACCTCTAGCGTTGTTCGTAAGCCAATCGGTGGTGTTCGAAAGCTGCGTTTTTTGCTCATTCTTGGGGTGTGGCCCCCTGTCCTGATCTGAACTCCCGCAGGTTAACGACGACCTCAAGAACCAAAGCCAAGACTCAACGGTAGGCGTGTGTGAGGAGGGGGGCGGGGTTGGTGGCACCGTCGCCCTTGCGGCGGCTCTACTGCGACCCGGCGAGAGCGAGGACGAGGAGGCCAACCAATCAGATGGGGGAGAGGGGGACACGGTGCCGCTGCCCCCGAACGTTCACGACGTAGACAAGATCTTGGTCAAGACGCCGCTGCTCCGGAACGACAACGCGTTCCACGATACCTTGAACAGTGAGACTTTTTCCTTTTCTTTTGTGTATCACTGTTTAGTGTTTGGCTTGAACATCACCAGTAAGACTGAACAGCAGCAGGAAGACTGCAGGTGGAAAGGGTGGGTAGTTCCACAGGGCGATATCTTCAACGAGGTCTCCGTATGGTTTCGTGATGTTTTCGCGGAGTTGCAAACATGTTTGTTTCCCCAACAGTATGTGGAACATTCAGCTTGTGTTGGGACCTACAGTACCTCTCTCTACGCAACGGTGGGGGGGGCGTACTCTTAAGTTTTGCATGCGTTAGCCGTTAGACCATTGACCACGCGTCCTCGAGAGGACGGAGCATTGTTCCCACAGGACCGATTACCGATGGCCAATCGTTCCTTTCTCCTTTGCCAAAGGTGGCTCAAAAATGTCTTCCCTCGTCTGTCTATCCTAACGATACCCCTTCCCGCATTTTCAACCCACCTCCTATGCCCCACTACAGC